TCAAAACAGACCTCGCTAATAAGCATACTTGGCTGCGGAGAGGTTAATTGATTATTGCTCAGCACGACGTTGTAGCTACGCATTTCTGCTGCTGCCCCCATTATGAGTCATCAAGGTGCTCTGATGTAAAGGAAATACACATGCGAGATTGAGCCTGCACCTACAGGCATCATTTCATAAATAACACACCAACATGTCATATCCCACCTCGTCATCAGCTCATCACATAGATGCATGTACGTGCATCACCAGCCAGCACGCACCCGCCAACCTACCTGCGATCCGAACACCACGAGTTTTTTATCCGGCATCAGCTCAAGGTTTTCATCCCGCCTCTGCATAGCTACTTGGGTAAGCCGCTCAATACCAACGGCATCCAAGAACTTCACCAGCAGAGCAGGATTCTTCGACGCCAGCATATTCCATACCTGCATATGGATATTGTAAGACAAGACAAAGAGTACTCGTGGGAGATGCTCCCTTCTTACACATATGTCTGGTCTGGGTTGACACTACTGCGATTCGCGGTTTAAGGTCCTGGGTTCGGTTCCTGGGGAGACCCCCGGACTAGCCGGGAGCGTGAGATTATGGTTAGGTGCTGAGATGTGGAGTTGAGGTCGCAGTTGATGGACCAGATTCGCACGCTGGATTGGTGGCGATTGACGAACCCTCCGTCTCTTCGGTTGTTCGGGTGAATGGATGAGGAGGGATCCTAGAAAGCTGGATCCGTCGCCTTGGACTTACAGTTCGTATGGCGAAGAATAGTGTGGTAGTGGTAGATGGTGCTATAAGGTGATAAAATCGTAGAACTGACAATGTGATAAAGCGGCCCAGAAGCCTCCCACTCTGTAACATTACACATGTAACATTACACATATGCACGTCGGCATGCCCTATGGCATAAAACGGGGGGTAACCCCCCCTTAAGCGTAACCCAGGGTGTAGGGTTAGGGGTTACCCATGTGGCTATGTACGAAGGGAGGTGGGTAACCTAACCCCGGGGGAGGGGTAACCCCTTACCGAGGGGTAACAAAGGGGTCGGGGTAATACACTACTGATGGGTAACAGACAGGGTAACCCATGTTTACATTCACCTGCGCCTGTCTCGCCTGTCTACACACGCAAACATACATGTCTTCACCAATCACTTGTGAATGCCCAATTATCAACATTGCCGCACCAAAACATGCCTTGTTTAGAAAGAAACCTAAACCTAAGGACAACATATGTGATGCATGGCGTGTGATGAGGCGTGTGATGAGGTGTGCGTCTGTATTTTTTCGGGCATTGTATAGGCGACATGTCCGGGAAATTAGGTGAAAGGTATATAGGCCATTTAGCTCTACACGTATTCTACGAGACTTAAAGGCTTAGGCATAAGAGGCGCATGTGTAAGTGATGGCCTAGTATACGATCATGTATGGCATAGCATTATAAGTACATTTTTACATCATAACCTGTAGCAAGGGATGTTTAGGCTATGCGGTATACAGGTCGTGTATACGGTTTGTATACACTTGATGTTGTAAACGACATTGCCTATATAGACGCAAGTATACATGATTCCCTATAATAGGACCGGCATCGCATAAAACGCTTTTCTTTCGAGTCACCCTTATATACCTATGTCATCTCTCGAATCGATCGCACGACATCCGCTCTATCTCTCCTACGAGAATGTAATTCTAGTAGTGCCTGTGATTGAGTAGACATTGCGCCTGGTGGCACCGTACCTCGATCCCGAAACCACTTGTAAGTAATGGTCGCGCCTTACCAGTAGTACTTAACCAGAAGATAAGTTTGGGATAGCCTTAATTTTTACACTTATAAATGTAAATGGCACTCATGGACATCAGCTGCGTTAGCCTGGCTTGTCGTCCATGCGGCAGCCTGGGCAAATGGCCCAACTCCATATGAGTTTGCTGCTGGCTGCGGCCAAGAAACATGCGATGCAACCTCCAGTAATTGGTTTGCATTCAAGTCGACGTAGATACCTCCTGTGACCGCCGTACCGGAAGACAATTTTCCGGTACGACAACATGTGAGGTCCAGAACCGAACACAAAAGCAGGATTCACCATTCAGAGCGTAAAACGTCGCCGTCCATGACTTATGCATATGAATTCACGTGTTCTCTTCGCGTTTTTCTCCTTCTTCGTAAGGCCAACGCGTCGACCAACGCACATCTTACACCCGTCCGGTCCAGAGCCGCTATAGCAATAATATTTACATAAACATAAAAGTCATTTATGAACATCTGCTACGTTTGTCTAGCACTGTCGTACCGGAGGTTGGGTCGGCAGCAGACCATGAACTTCTCGCCTAGGAAAGCAGCCAAGAAACATAATTGAAATCTGTTATCGAATGTCAACATTTGCGGTGCAACTGGCGCGAATCGGACACCAGAGGTCACAGGAAGTACAGCTCTTACTAGCAGGTCTTAATGACGAGGGGTGCCTGACGGCGTTGCATGGACTCCATCGATGCATGTGCCTCGGCATGAAGGGTGAATACAAAACGTTTCATATGCACAGACCTCATGGGAGGTCAAAGGTGTTTCGCACGCAGCAGCTAGTGCAGCTTTGGCCCGAACACTGTATACACGAGTGGCCTACATAAAGGCATACCTTTATACAACGGACTATTAGGCTCTCACAGCTTTGCATGCGTACACATGGTAACCTATAGCCTACAGGCCTATAGACCATGCTGTATACAACAGATCGCCTATAGGTGTGATGTATACGATTATATACGCGAAATCACCTATACGCCACATATTCCGCGGTCCTACCTATTAGGCGATGGCCCCAGGGAACGAGCCGAAACTTGACCAGGTCTGCGGAAACTTTTCGTAATCGGGAGGCCCTTTGCGGAAAGGCTGCGGAAACTGCGGAAAGCTGCGAAAACTATAAAATGAATATGTAACGATGTTTTTTAGCTCTTCTCAGTGTGGCGATAACATGGACAGTCTGAAACCAGCTTGTGGCAGTGCGGTTCTGTCCGGTGGGATCTAGAATCTGGTGGATTCCAATCGTGCTCGAAGGTAGAGCCATCTAAACGTATTACTGGGGGTGGCGGGGGCCAAGCGATCAACTATTGTGTGCCCACACCCTTGACGGTGTTCACCCTGCCCCCTTCAAGCAGCCCGCCTCTCTTTGAACCCTCAGACCCCAGGCCTGAGCAGCCCTATCGTATACCATCCCCATTGTGTTGTTGGCTGACGGATTGCTCTGGGATGCTCAGAAATTGCCACTCGTATGTTACATGGGGTAAGGGCCTGGGGAGCCCTGAAACACTGAATAATAATCGTCTCCCTGTCCGTTGCGGAGCAGTGACATGTCTGCATGCCTACTCCACATACCCGTCCGGCATGTCTGCATGCCTCACGGACAAGTCTATGCTGACTGTGCATTAATCCAGTAATCGTCCAAACAAGTGCACTCCTTGGCAAGGTATAAGCGGATTTCAGGAAGGCGCGCACGTTTCCAGTGGCGACGGCAGCCCTTGCAGGTTGCATAGCAGTTCTTGCTCTTGTCGTAAGGACCTCTATCAAAATGT